GTACGCGGAGCAATCTGTAGAGCTGGAAGCTGAGAACTGGCGACTTTCAAGTACAACTTTACGCGGAGCATCTGGGGAGCTGGAAGATGAGAACTGGCCACTTTGTAGTACAAGTGTAGTACGCGGAGGAGTCATCTCTCGCTGCTGAGTCAGCTCTCGCTGCTGTGAGTCATCTCTCGCGACTGAGTCATCTCTCGCTGCTCAATTATCTCTCGCTGCTGAGTCAGCTCTCGCTATAGCCATCTCTCGCTGCTGAGTCATCTCTCGCGGCGTGCAGGTTTGGCACAGCTCATACTGATAGTACTTGGTTGCATTTATGCAGGACAGGACATTCAACTGCTGGTCAATACACCATTCATCATACACCACTCAGCATACACCACTCAGCATACACCACTCATCATACACCACTCGTCATACACCACTCATCATACACCACTCATCATACACCCCTCTTGTCGTGGCAAAGATACAACCCAGTACGCTGTTGTGAGCTGCTGATCCTGCAGGGGGCACACACCTTACACACGTGGAATCCCGTGGGTCAAAAGTCCGGAGCGCGTGCGTTTGACTGGAGGACGCGCATGTTGGAGAGAACGTGGACACTCCTATAGGTCAATTTGTTCTTATAGGAAACTTCCGCCGCCGGCTTGCCCGGGAACTACTTGTATACAATATTTATACAAATATATAGACAAGACGAGACTGCCATTCAACGTAAAATTTAGAGCAGGAAGGCGCCAAGGTAGCAGACCTTTCTGTGAGCCACCCGAGGACAAAATTTGGGGTGTCATTCTAAGGTAGCAGACTCCGAAGTGAGTCGCAGCTTGGGCAAGTGGCAAGTGATTCACGCGCACGCAAGTGAGCTAACGTTTGGACATGGCCTCTTCATGACTTACGCAAGTGAGGTGAGCTTTGCGCGCACGAGTTGCGAGCCAGCCCCAACAAACACCAAAATTTAGAGAAACGCATCCAAGCACGCCCCCTTCCACTTCCTTCAGCGCCACGAAAACAGTGTTTGTCGACCACACTCCACCGCACCGGCCAGTGCGACATTTGCACGATTTTTTCCAATGTACTTTGCTTGCTACGACTGTTTTTTCTTGAGTGTCAGCCTGCCAAGTTGTTTGTTTCACTCAGCCACTCGCTCCGCCTTCCGCCTGCAGTGCATTTCCTTGAAGGACACTTGGTTGCTGTAAATAGCAGCGAATTATTTGGGAACCCCCAAGGATCTTGCAAAAAAACAAAATATAGAATTACAAAGTAATAAACGAATTCAAAGCGCACCCATTGCTAAGTCATACATGCAACATACCGCGTCTAGTCTTGCCAGATATGACGAACCGAACCTATGTTGCAAGAGTCCTCATGTACTCCTTGTGTGGTTTTTCAAAGTGCCCCTTCCTCAACGCTTTCTTCCAGGTGCAAAGGTTCCGCTCCCGCTCATGCCCCACATGAGGCAGAGACCAAAAGCAGTTTGTGGGGTGCTGAGCATTGCTGAGCACCGGGCCACGTCCTGCGCGTCCGGAAAAGGACTGGTCAAGAAACCCTTGGAAAACTTGCCAAAACATGCCAAAACAAAAATGTGTGTTTTTGCTCGAGGCAAAGGTTTTTGGATCTTTAGGTCATTCTGAGTCATTCGTGTACTTGGATGTTTTGCAGTTATCCATGTTTCTAGGTGTTGTTGAGAACCAACTATTAGAGGTGAACGTTTCAGCTGGTTGGCATGCATCCTTGGTGCATTGATCAGGTTTCAATGGCCTGCGAACGTCGTAGGCATAGGCGCTTGTTTTGCCACGAACGTCGTGGGACAAAGGATGAGGATTAAACAAGCACACGGTAGCAGCACGTTGGCATGTTGATGCGGGCAGAGCTTGGACCGCTCACATGCGATAACGGCAATGATAACTGAGGTAGCAGGGTGTTGGACAATGTCCTTGTTCATTCTGTGTTTTGTCAGGCGACAGCAAGCGTGTGTTTTCTCAAAATGCGGGTTCATATCTCAACATAGCACATTATTGAAACTCAACCATACAAACAAAATTGACTGAGCGCAGGCCCAACAGCAAGCAGAGGAGAGTTAGTTATATAAAATACTTTGTTGAGTCAGCTTTCCCGCCTATGTTGCCTCTCATTCTTTTCATGGTCGGCGCAGCACCACTAGCTGCAGCTGAGTCTTGTGCTGCCTTGAAGTGTGTGGCTGTCTTCCGAGAGAGGGATCCTTGCCAGTGCTTTCCTGGCTGCGAAGTCTACGACAATTGTAGCACGGCAATTGCCAGGCATTTGGTGTTCCTTTGATTTTTGGATGGTACATAAATATAAGCATATTTCAAGGCTTACGCCTAACAGCCGGGCGCCGGCCCACTTGGGTGTGTGGGGCGTATGTCACGCCTATGTTGGCCTTGGTGGGCCTATATTGAGCTATCTGGTGCGCATCTTGGCCCTAGGTTGGGCCAAGTGGGGCCCATGCGGTGTATGTTGGGCACATCTTGGGCCCATGTTGAGCCTATGTTGGGCCTATGTTGGCCTATGTTCGGCCTATGTTGGCCTAGGTTGGGCCTATGTTGGGCCTATGTTGGCGTATGTTGGCCCCATGTTGGCCTATGTTGGCTCTATGTTGAGCCATCTTGGAGGCTATGTTGGGCATATTTTGGGGATATGTTGGCTATCTTGGGCCTATGTTGGGGATATGTTAGGCAATTTATGTTGAAAAAATCTTCCGATACAACTTTTTACGATTTTTCCTTCCCGCAAAGCAAAAACACTGGAAAAACTCACGTTTTTTGACATCGCCAACATAAAATTCTCGGCTGCCGAGGGGCCCAAAACCCTGTAAAACACAGTGTTTTTATACCTCACACACACGATACACTGTAAATTACAGGGGCATCAGTGACCCGGTGGTCCCCCCGTTTTGGTCTCGAGGGTCGGCGGCAGCCGGCGCGCCCGTCTATAACCTTCGGTTACCACCGAAGGCCCTCCGCTCACCCCACGAGTGGGGTCGGCGGATTGCATATGTATTATTTTGGGGTGATGCATGTTGGATGATCCTGCGGTGACCCAGCTTCAGTCACGTTGAAGATGAAAATTTGCTGTATCGCAGCTTCTGCATAATTACCACATACCAAATGTTTCTCCTTTCTCTTGTAACTGCCTGCCTTTGCTGGAGTCGTGGCCCAGGTTGCTCCGACTTCAAGGACATTTGCATGAATTCCAAAGACGAATTCCGTGCAGCGCAATCCACGGAGGATATGCCACCCACTACCACTCACCCACCCACCATCCCTCCAGCCATTCCAAGCCAGCCCGAGATGGAACATGAGGCACCTGTCCAGGCGTCCCATTCATCCGAATCTTGGCTTCAGTTCAGGCTGGGTTTGGAACTCGCGACTAAAAATAAGTGCCCCTAATATCTTTGAACACTTTTTAGCTACTAGGGGCTCCTGGCCTTACTACTAGGAACAAGGACGCTACTAGGGGCTCCTGGCATCGCTGCTAGGACAAGGACGCTACTAGGGGCTCCTGGCATCACTACTAACAACAAGCACGCTATTAAAGGCTCCTGGCCAATACTAGCAACAAGGACGCTACTAGGGGCTCCTGGCCTTACCACAAGGAACAAGGACGCTACTAGGGGCTCCTGGCATCACTACTAGGAACA